GCCGACTGGATTTTCAATTTAACATGGGCTTGTAGCATGTCGCACAAGTGGCTCAGCGTAAAGGACGCCCACGCGCGCGCGCGAGCAGTGACTTACGAACTATCCGCACCAGAAGGGCCGCTATGTTTGCTTGGAAACTAAAAGTTGCCCGTTGCGGTAGAAGATTGAATATCCTAGTTAGCATGTGGTTGTGCCATGTTGGCCAAGTAGCTCAGCGTGCAACGCGCCCGCGCGCGCGGGCGCGAGCTGTGAACTCTGTATCATCCACGACAGAGGACCGCCGTGATGGCTTGGCAATTCAAGCGGCCCCGTGGCGGTGGCCGAATGGATTTCCAAGTTAACATGGGGTTGTTGCATGTCGGCCAAGTGGCTCAGCGCACAACGCGCGCACGCGCGCGCGCGGGCTGTGCATCCTGCACTACCCAGAATAGAAGGGCCGCTGTCTCCTGGAAACTCATGTGGTCCCTGAGCGGCGACCGATTGGAATTCCGAGTTCACATGGGCTTGTAGCATGTGGCTGAACGCACATAGCGCCCGCGCGCGCGCGCCCCCCCCCGGCGCGTGCGAGCTCTGAAAGCCGTACTACCCGCAATATCGGGTCCTTTATGTTGGCATTGAAGCTCAAGTGGCCCCTCCGCAGTAACCGATTGAACTTCCGAGTTAACATGGGGGTTGTCGCGTATCGGCCAGGTGGCTCAGCGTACACGTCGCCCACGCGCGCGCTAGCTGTGAACTCTTCATTTTTTCCACCGTACAACGGCCACCATGTTGGCATGGAAAATCTAATTGGCCAATTAACGGTGGCTGATTGTATTCCGAGTTAACGTGGGCTTGTAGCATGTCGGTCACGTTGCTTAGCTCACAACGCGCCCGCGCGCGCGAGATGTGACTTCTGGGCTACCCACATTAGAAAGGGCCGCCTGGCCTGGAAACTCAAATGGCCCCTTAGCGGTGACCGATTGGATTTCGAAGTTAGCATGAGTTTGTAGCGTGTCGGTTACGTGGCTCGATTTACAAAGCGCCACCGCGCGCGCGCGCGCCCGCGACCGCGCGAGCGCGAGTCGTGAATCTTGGGTTACCCAGAAAAGAAGGGCCGCCGTGTTGGCCTGTGAACGAAGGTGGCCCTGAGAGGTGACCGACTGCATCTCCAAGTTAACATGTGGTTGGAGCATGTCGACCATGTGGCTGAGCGCGCAACGCGCCCACGCGCGCGCGGGCGCGAGCTGTGAATTCTGTTGTGCCCACAATAGACGGGCCGTTATGTTTGCCTGGACACTCAAGCGGCCCCTTCAGCGGTGGCCGAATGGATTTCCAAGTTAACATGGGGTTGTAGCACGTCGGCCAAGTGGCTCAGCGTACTACGCGCGCGCGCGGGCGCGAGCTGTGCATTCGGCACGCGGCGGCCGCGGGCCTTTCTGCGCGGGAAATAAACGCAATATGCGATCGCGGAAATGCAGCCACACGCACTGTGGCCTGGGCCACTACGTAGGTAGGCGAACATACGGCTGCAAGGGGCAATGCCGCCGCGCGTTAGGGCGGGACACCATATTATGCGCGAGGGGAAAGCGCGGAGGCCATGTGCGGCCCGTGTTCAGCGCAGCCCGGTCGCCCCCGGCCTGGGGCCTGGCCCGGCAAGCAGCCCTGCCCACCCTGACCGGTACCCAGCGGGCTGGCCCCTCGCCCACCCAATAGCTCGGCTGGTGACCGGCCGGTAGCCCGGCCAGTAAGTCCGCGAACGCGGCGGGCAACCCGGCCGGTAACTCCACGAACCCGGCCGGTAACCCTGCCGGTAATTCTACGAACCCGGCCGGTGACCCGGCCCGGCCGGTAACCCGGCTGGTAGCCCGGCTGTTACTGCGCGCCCGGCCGGTAACCCGGCTGTTAGCCCCAGCCCGGCTGGTAACCCGGCTGGTAACCCGGCTGTTAATTCCCAGCCCGGCCGGTAACCCGGCCGGTAGCCCGGCTGGTAGCCCGGCCCTTAGCTTGGCCTTGCAGCACATTCTGTAGCGGAGCTACAGCGCCGCTACAGAACGCCGCAGACGGCCGGCCCTTCCCAGGCCATCCGATATCAAGCTAAGCTAATATTATCAGCTCCAGGGGACTCTGTACTAGTACCGACCCCCGCGCGGTAAAATATCAATACAGATTGGGGGTAATAAATATTAGGTACTTGGGGGTAATATATATCAGGTACTCCTGGTGCGTTTTGGGAGGGGGATCAGCCATCTGCGCAACTCGTGAAGCCCAGCGGACCACGTCCTAACGAGACCCAGTGGGCCCTCGCGTGATAAGAGGAACAGTCATAAGCAGCAGTAGAAGTATAATTTGTTGTTGAAGTTGCAGCAGTAGTAGTAGTCGTAGTAGTAGTAGTAGTAGTAGTAGTAATAGTATTGATGTTGTTGTATTCATAGCAGTAGTCGTCGTAGTAGTCGTAGTCGTAGTCGTAGTAGTAGTAGTAGTAGTAGTCGTCGTCGTAGTGGTACTCGTACGACGTAGTACTAATAGTCGCATTAGTAGCAGTATCATCAGAAGTCGCATTTTCAATATTCAGTAGTAATATTCGTAATCGTAATCGTTTTAGTAGTTGTACGATTATAAGTATTTGTACCATTAGTAGCATATTTCAGCAGTAATCGTAATAGTACGATTAGTAGCATTAGTGCTTTTAGTGGTATCCGTACTCTTAGTAGTAATAATGGTGGTAGTAGTAGTCGTAGTATAATTCGTAGCCGTAGAAGCCGTAGTAGTCGTAGTAGTCATGGTAGTCGTCGTAGTGGTAGTAGTCGTAGTAGTAGTAGGAGTAGTAGTAGTAGTAGTAGTAGTAGTAATAGTAGTAGTGTAGTAGTAGTAGTAGTCGTAGTAGTTGTAGCAGTAGTGGTGGTAAATGTCGTAGTAAAAGTAATAGTGGTCGTAGTAGTGGTAGTGGTAGTAGCAGTAGTAGCAGTAGTAGTAGCAGTAGTAGTAGGTGTAGTAGTAGCACCAGTGAAAGTAGTAGCAGTATCAACCGTATCAGCCGTACCAACAGTAGTCGTAGTAGTAGTAGATACATGTGGAAATATCTGCGCTTTCGTGAGCTCGCGGGAAGCCAGCCGATGAAGATGCAGCTTCAGCGCGTGCGTGGACACTGTCACCATCATTGCGTGCATCACCACACACCATGTCATCACATCATCCGCAGCCATTTGGGCCCAGAGTCTATTTGCTTCGGTTTCGCGATCTGAAAGCATGCCCGCACAGGGCTACAAAATACCATATTGTTCTCAAGACGCGTTGAACAGAGCGTTGATCAAACGTGGAGATGTTGCAGTAAATCTCGGACAGTACGGACACATATCGAAAAGTTGTGCCGTCAATGGAAAAGCCATGTGGCATATTGCACCGTTCTTGGCAGACCCCGTCTCGATTCAAGCTTGTTGCGAATTCAACCACTCGCAGATGAAAGCTGCATTTTTGAATTTGGTCAAAGAAAAACCTACCGTATCGACTGGCAAATACTTGGCAAAAGTGTGGGCGGGGCTCCGTTCAGAGAGGCTGACGACAGTTTTATCACACGTGCGGCGCGTTGTGCGAGATGATGGTCGTTGTTTCCAAATGCTTGGAAAAATGGACCCCAAAGACTACGACACACTACACGATCATGTGTTGAAGCTCGTGGTACCCATTGCAGTGCGCCCCGATTCAGCAAGTGCGATGCCAAGCGATCCCGAGCCTCCGTCTGAAGAGCCCGCATCCGAGTCGAAAGCCCCCGCCATTCACATTGCAAGCCCTACAAGGAAGCCTGGGAAAAGGTGCATGGGCAAGACGTCTCCAGAACACGTGAAGGTCAGCAAGGACGAGGTCCCCGAGCAGACCCCGAACATCAGAGACAAGGCGACGATCTCGAGCGAGCAGTCGCGAACGTCCCTCGAAGTTGACACCCCAGCAAAGGTTGATACACCCAGTGCGGCAGCAAGTGCGACACCGAAGATTGATAAGCCCAGCAGCGCGGCTCCAGGTGCAGGACAGAAAGAAGCTCCGACGTTCGACCCCGAGACGCAGTCGCTCAGCCTCATGTATTACAAGCGTGACAATTGCTGGGCGATTCGCATTACAGGCGGGCCGCAGATCGTCAGTGTGGGGAAGCGTGGTCGGAGCAAGGATGATCTCGAGCGTATGGCCAAGAAGGCGAAACGTAGCCTCGAGACGGGCATGGATATTCCTACTGTGAAGCTACTGGTCAAACTGAAGTTGGACAAAGAATGAGCCCTATTCGAGTAAGGGTGCAACGTTTGATCTTCGCGCTCCATGTGGGGTCGGCGCACCGCGAGCCTCGCGCAGATAAAAAATAAACAAAGAAAATAACAACACGAAGGAGGATGAGGATGGGGAGGGGGAGGAGGAGCAGGGGGGAAAACGAGGAGAGGGAAGATGAGGAGGAGGAGGAGGAGTTGGCCAACTTGAAAAAAGAAGTTGACAAGTATGTTGTTTTCAAGTTAGTGGAGGAGGAGAGGTGGAGGAGAAGGACAAGGAAGAGGAGGGGGATGCAGAGGAGGAGGAGGAGGAGGAGAAACTCAAGACTCCCGAACAGTATGGGTGCGCTCGGCGACCGACCAAGACCTAAACAGCAAGCTGTAGTGGGAATCGGATTTGAACGTGGCTGATGCTCTTATGTGTGATGTGTTTGTGATTGTGCGTATTTACATGCATTCGACTCCCCCCAAAAGCTGTTTAGGGTCTCGCACGTCTTCTCGCGAGGATTCCTTTGAAAACAGCCGTGGCGAACGAGGTCCGCTCCCCCCCGTTGGCCTGGGCGCGACTGCTCGTGATTGTGCCGCCCCAACCGTGTCCTGGGGCACCTTCCACTCCACAACCGTCCATTATGTTTCCCTGCTCCAATGGAGTAAACCGTCCTCCCCCTGCCCTCCTCATCCGCCGCCGTTTTGGCTCGAGCCAATTTCGACGGCATCCAACGGGAGGTCGGTCGCGACCTCGAGCGATCTACGACTACACAGAATCGCACCATGGTGGCAAAGAGGCCAGCAGCTGCGACACCGAAGGCACAGGCGGCCAAGAAGCCAGCATGTGCTGATGCCAAGAAGCCAGCAGCTGCTGAGGCGCAGGATCCCAAGCAGCACGCCGAGGACGATGATGACGCCTGCAGCCAAGTCGGTTCGGCCCTCAGCGTGCGCGGCAGCTTGCAGGAGAAGATCGACATCCTGAAGAACCACTCGGAGCTCACCGACCTTCAGAAGCTCAACATGCTCAAGACTAAGTTGACGGAGGGTGACTGGGCGGCCTTGAACGGGCGCGTAAACAGGGCTTTAGAGAAGGACAAGGACCTGGCGACGGAGATCGAGACGGCGTTCGACAACGGCGGCCGCAGCGAGAGGCGCAACGCGATTTGCGCTTGGGTGCTCGACCCAACCAAGGGCAAGGTGTACAAGGAGCTCAAGCACGGCATGGGGCAGAAACAGAAGTGGACCAAGCAGGAGAAGTGGGAGGGGCGCTCAGCATATGTGCCGCCCAAGTGGACAGCTGCGGAGTCCGACGCCTTGGTGGATTCAGGCCGCATCGTTGAGCGCGAAGTCGTTGGCTGCCCTGGCATCTTCGAGTACCTGGGCAACGGGGGCATGACGGTCACGAAGGAGCTCGAGAAGAACAAGGCCCTGACAGGCAAGCAGGTCGACGATATCGCCCCAGAGACCGACGAGGCCGAGTACTTCCAGCAGCTGATGGGTCAGATCAACGGCTTGGGGAGCACGGACATCATGGGCGGCGCGGTTTGGGGGTCAAGCAGCAAAGGTCGTGGCAGAGGGTCGGCAGCAGCAATCGAGGACAAATCGGAGGGCAACGCCGGCCAGGTCGAGAAAACGAGGAAGCAACAGACGGAGGAGGTGAAGATCCAGAAGCGGGCGAAGTTCTGCGGCACGCTCATCACCAACACCATCAAGACGATCGACGCGACCCTCTACAACAACGGCAAGAACGTGGCGTCGTCGAAGAAGGCGCAGCTCACGAAGATCAAGCAGGCCTTGCAGGAGTTGTCGCAGCAGGATCTCACGGACACGAACGTTCAGACGAGCGTGGCGGTTAAGGTGGCCACCTAACGTATTATCATTTCCTTCCACCTCCCACCTCCCCTCCTCCTCCTCCTCCTCCTCCTCCTCCTCCTCTGCCTCATCCTCCTCTTCACCCTCCGATGTGTTCCTCATCCTCCTACTGCTCCCCCTGCTCCCTCGCCTCTAACCTCCTCCTCATCCTCCTTCTCTGCCTCCTCGTCGTCCTCCTCATCCTCGTCCTTATCCTCCACCTCATCCTCCTTCACTAACTTGAAAAGTAGAACTTAAACTCCTCCCCCTCCACCTCCTCCTCCTCCTCCTCCGCCTCCTCCTCCTCCCGTTCCCCCCCCCTCGCAATGCCACCGTGCGAAATGATAATTCACTGCGTTGAGGTGAAGTCTGCGAAGTTGGCGTGCAACACGTTCTAGACATGACGCAGACGGCTCGGTGCGATGGTGGCACGCGTTTTTTTCTCTGGCAGTGATTTGCGAACAATTGTGTTTCTGGTGTGGCACTCTGGTTACACCAACGTTAGGAAATCCTAGCGCCATGTGAGGTTTTCCTAACGCCAACTCACAAAACCTAACGCGGTGTTAGGAAAACCGAATGCGGCGTGAGGAAATCCGAACGCCGACCATGACTGGCGTGATGAAAACCTAACGTGGCATTAGGAAAACCTAACGTCGGTGTTTCGGAGTGTCAATCTATAATGTGATGTTCGACCGTGCACACGATGCATACATGTAGTTCGATTGTGTGACATACATGCGATAGATAATATTGCGCACGCTGCCAAATAATGCCCCGTCGCCCTTTGCGCGCGCTCAGTATCTAGCTGGGCCAAGCCGTACGCATCGCGAATGATGCGCGCGCGGCGGCGTTGCGGTGCGGAGCCTCTCCGAAGGATGGGAGTTCTAGGAGATGGGGGAGGGCAGGATGAGGAGAAGGATGATGAGGATGAAGGTACGCAGTAGGACGAGGAATATTTGGCTTCGCAAAGATTGGCGTAGACGCGTCGGAGACCGAAGGGGTGCGCAGCCAGTTGGTGCGGCATGCGCGCGCTCTCTCAGCGTTGAGGGGTGGGAAAAACTGGAAAATTTGAAGCTTTAGGTGCGGGCCCCCCTCGGTGCCACCATTTCGTTCTTTAGGCGTCGTTGGGTGGCCCAGTCCTGGCCCAGGAATCTCTCGAGGGGGTTCGACCTCAAACGTTTAATAGAGGGTCTGGCAAAGGGGTTCCTCCTCCTCCTCCCCCTCGTCCTCCTCTTCCTTCCCCTCACCATCAGCATCGTCATCCTCATCCTCATCATCGTCATCATAATCAGCAGCGTACTCAACATTATCACAATGAATGCTTCTGATATCGTCGCCGTCACCTATATTATCAAAAACACCCAACATCACCGCCATCACCAGCATCACCCTCCCCGACATCACCATCACCACCATCAGCATCCATAGCCGATGTGGCTCAATGTGGCTTGTACGTTTCGCAATCATTCACTCTGCATGTGGCCTCCATGTCGTGACACCAGCGCGGCGAATGCCGACTGGTAGAGTTTCGGTTGAAGAATCTGTTGCCAGAGCCGAGGCAAGCCATGTTAGAACAAAGCCCTGTGGACAGAATGGTGATCAAAGTTCTGACAACCACCCCCTGATCAGTAGCATAGTTCAATCCTTCCTCGAAGGGAAAATGTCTGCAGCCGCTGTCCAAGATGTTGCCTTGAGTGCGATGTTACACTCAGAAGGCGTGTCTGAGCTGGCTGGGCTGGCGTCGCTCGGCGGCGTCGGTTCTCAACCAGGAAACATTAGCAGGGATTTGATGCGGTACTTGGACAATTTGGGCGAGTCTTCGCTGCCGATGCCCACCAGTGTCCAATGTCCGATGGTCGACGCAAAAACGTCGACACTTCTACGCACAGGCTCGCTTGTGGTCTTCAACCCCGCCGAATTGTTGCAAGGACTTGCCAACTACGATTTGTTCGACCGCATAATGCGCACCGACTGCGTTGAGGATTTCTGGAAGAACATGAGGCCAGATGACCCCAGGCTCGTATACCTTCTGAACGAGAACGTTGATTTGGACCCAGAGAAGTTGAAAAAAACAATTCCGTTGTACGTACATGGGGACCACGCTGAGTTCGTCAACGACGATTCGCTCATGGTCTGGCATATGGGGTCACTTCTAACAGATGTACCATCATTGTGTTCGTGCTTATTGCTTGGATGCGCGCCCAAAAGGATAGAGGTCACCAAACCTGAAGATCCGTGGGACGCTGTGTGGGAATCGTGCTGGGCCCCGAGCTTCACTTGTTTATTGGACGGCAAAACTACGGCAGGCGAGGACGTGCATCCGTTGGGCTGAAGATTCTGCGTGTTCGCCTTAACAGGCGACCACGAGCACTTTGTGCTCACATTGAAATTACCGCATTGGAATTGTTTAAAGTATTGTTATATGTGTGACGTGGACAAATCGACAGACGGGCCATTCGCTGGCAGGTGGTTCCACGGTGGATCGTGTGGCGCGCCCCTCAAAGCAGCGAATGACGAAACCCTCCATCGTTTGAGCAAGCATCCTGTGTTCAAGATCCCTGGTGTGACTCGGCACAATGTCGGGGGAGATGCCCTCCACATCTTGTGGGCGAATGGCGCGTGTTCGCACGCTGCTGGATCTGCTTTGCATTCGATGTGTTGGATTGGCCGAGGCGCACAATCAATAAAGCCTGCAGAAAGATTGAAACTAATTTTCGCACGAGTGCGAACACTTTACGCGGAGCGGGATTCACCGTCAAGGTTTACTAACTTGTCCTTGAATATGTTCGTGTCTAATTTGGGTTCACCGCGCGCAACCGCTCCCATGCTCAAAGGCAAGGCAGCGGAAATCAAGCATTTCATGCCAATTCTGGCGCAGATATCTTCGGAAATCCCAGATGGAAGTATTTCGCACGAGCGCAGGACAGCAGTGCTGTCTTCGCTTGCCCGTTTCGGAGAGCTGTTGGATGATGCTCCGATTTTCCCAAGTGGCGATCAAAAACGAGAGGCGACGGCAGCGATGAGTTCTGCGCTGGACAACCTGACCAAGCTGAGGGAGGAAGCGGAGGCACATGATTCATGCAATTGGCACATTGTATATAAGTATCATTTCTTCGAACACTTGAGCCAATTATACGACTACATAAATCCACGGATTGCGTGGACATTCAAAGTTGAGGACATCGTTGGCAAGATGTCAGGGGTTGCACATTCGTGTTCTTTCGGTGTTCGTTCGATTGATTTGCCAGGAAAGGTCGTCATGAAATGGAGGCGGTTGTACACTTGGTTGCTGAATAGGAGATCCGTCGATTTGTAATGGGAGAATCGGTGGCACTACATGCATGGAATGGCTTGTGGCACGCTGCAAAGCAAAGAAAAACACAATTTTCTCCCGTTCCCATGCCCTTTCCTGCGCGTCTCCTTCCCCCCGCCCCCCGCCCCCTGTCCTACCTTCTTTGCGCGCCCAGGACGGAGCGGATGATGATATACCAAGGGCTCCGCCGCCACCGCCCCCCCGCGTTGCTTGGGGGAGGGCCGCTTACTAAACTACTAAGGCGAGAGCTTCATTTTGAAAACGGGCCGCCCTGCATCCGTGAAATTGTTACAACGACGAGCGCCTTCCCCCAAGGTACCCTTGCGTCCTCCCCCCGTCTCCCTCTCCCCTCCCTCCGCGTCCCTACTCCCCCCCCTCTTCATGTTCTGGACTCGATGGCTACTATCACTAACTACCACAACTACTACTACTACTACTACTACTACTACTGCTACGACTACTATTCTTATTATTACCACTACTACTACTGTTCCAAGTATTCCTACTATTACTACTACTATGATTATTACTACCACTGATAGTACAACTACTACTATGATTACTATTTTACTGATACCACTACAACGACTACGACGAGAACTACTACTACTAATATTGCTACTGCTACTGATACTACAACAACTACTACAGCTAGCACTACTGAGATTAACAATACGATTGCAACTACTAGTGGTACTAGTACTATTACTACGCCCTCGAAGGATACTTAAGGATAATAGGGGAATAGGAGAGTCGGAGAATAGGAGAACGCCCTCGAAAGATATGCAAGGGATGTTTTTCTACCCCGTGAGATCTGGGTTCTCTACGAAAAAAACACAATGTGAATTACAGCCGAGTTTCCAAAAACTCGGCTGCAATTCCTTTCTGGGAAAACTGACGGTTAACATAATTAAAAAAATGAAAGACAGCGTGGGGTCGCCCAAGGACGTGTTGCCTACTACTACTACTACTACGGCTGCCACTACAGCAACAACAACAACAACTACTACTACTACTACTACTACGACTACTACTACTACTACTACTACTACTACGTACATACAACCTACCGTTCTGGCCTCCTTGGGACGTGGTGCAAGCACTGCTTGGGGAGTCGTTTGTGGACCCTGAACAGTAGTGTCGCGGATTTTATCCATGGCAGTAGACGGGGGATGATTGACATAGTCAACCGTCCCTCTTCTCAGACTGCCCCTGCATCACAGAAGTGTTAGACGGGCGGCAGACGTTACAGGGATCAGGGCGGTGTTAGTAACACTGCTCTGGCAGCAGGCAATCTTACGAGAGACTCAGGCCGTGCTCTTGGGACTTTTCTCGTAGGCTCCCTCGTGGCCAAGAGCCGCGAAGCCTTCTGCTGGGTCTGGGGGCGCCCAGACACAAGTACGAAGGCTACTACTAGTACTACTATAACCACTACCACTACCACTAACACTATTATTACTACTACAGCTACTACTACTGCTACTTCTACTATTACTGCTACTAATATTACAACTACTGGTCTTACGACGATGATTACTACTACTGATAACTACCATTGCTCACATGCTGCTGCTCCTGGTACTGCGTAGATCATACGAGCGTGAAAATTAACATCACCACTGCCACACGCACTCGTAATACTCATGATACTATTACGTCGAAGCCGAAATCGCTGCATATGTTATTGATATTTAACGAAGCGCCA